AGTACAGAAAAGCTGACAAGATATGGCCATCAACATACAATATAAAAATAACTAAAAAAGATTTGGAGACGTCACAATGAACAACTCATGGAAATAAACAACCGGCTAAACGCAACCCAGTGTGTGCCCTTTCTCAATTTCCCACAATCGTTAAATTATTTTTACACAAGTGTGTACCAAAGTTGTGATGCAGGGAAACTACGGTGAGAGTTCATTGCTTTCCTTGGGTGGCAGCCATGCTCAGACTCTCTTCCTCCTCAATGGTGTCCATCTCGTCCGTACGAATGGCTTGCGTTATCAAATTGAGCTCCTCGCACATGGTCTCGTAGCGATACGCCACGCGGATGTCCGGAACGTTAGTGCGCCTGATGTCGTTGCTCTCTTGGCCTTCTTTGACATAGTCGGGCCCGAGCCAGTAGCTCTTCACCTAAACCGGAACGGCAATAAGTTTCAACCGTATAGCACAGTGATCCCCAATCACTTTGCCGTGGCATGTTACTCATCATCCACTTTTAATTATTTATTCACCCAAAAATTAATGTATCGTTGTTCATCTATCTATGCCAGCGATGTATATTAACAGGCAGAACAATTAAATGCACTTCCTTCAAATGGCACAACGATACAATGCAAAGCTTTGTGTTCGACTAACCATTTCACAATGTAATTTTTTGTGTAAATCGGGATGAGATTGTTTCACTATACGTAATTATTTTGGTGACATTTTTGTTCAGCCTTGGCTCAATACAGATTGGATATCACTTGTACAGCAAAGAGCACAGTGTTTTTTTTATTTTTATTTTTACGATGGACATGAAGAGTCCCAGTTACCTTATGAGAGAATCCGCTCATCAGCACACTGTTTCTGGCCAGCTCACACATGTCACAAGAGCTCAACTTCCACACCTGAGCCGCAATGCTGTACTCCTCCATCAGGGGCTCCTACAAAGGAAGTGCACACACTAAAAGTTTCTACATTCAACATTTAACAAACCATATACCGCTGTTGGCTTCAATATTGTTCAATCAAGTTTGTGTCATTTTTTTTTTTCTTGCAGAAATTAGGTAACTTAGGGCTTGAGGTGGGTCCGACATGGAATATATTGACTACAACTTTGCAGTGATGTCAGTATTTCAAAGAGTAGTGCCAAATACCCACCCACGCCCCCATTTACAGTATTAAAGTCACTGGTAAAAATGTACTTCCAATTAATTGGCAAAACCAGGCGTCATTTTATGCTGAGCAAAGTTGTCAGTAACTGCGAAACGTAAGTATTAAAGTAACTTGAAATATAACTTTGTGATTTTTAAAATTAAGCAATCAGCAAAGTAACTAGGTTAATTTTTCATGCTCACGGCGGCAACACTGGTGCTTACCTTAGTGAAGTGAAATTGCAAGGGATCGTCTGTGGACAGGGAGACCATGAGGCCTCTGGAGAGGTACTCTGGCAGAGGATTACGATGATAGCTAAGGAACAGACTGTTATTGCTGAGCGGAGACATGGCGATGCCAATCTGAGCCAAATAGTACAGATATTGAAGCACAGGAGCCTGTGGACGGATAAGACATCATCTGTTCATGACACAGCGCAGCTTGACTTTTCCATTTGGATTTACTTTATCAAGATGGTCACTTGGCTGAGCAAATGTAATGGTGGTTGTGGCTTCGGGCTTTTTGCGGCATTTTGGGTCCCACCTTCCGAAGCAGCAGCCCGTGGGAGATGTTCTCTGACAACATGAAACCAGACACCAGGTGATGGATGGGACCTGCCTCGCCACAATGAGGACGTAGTACCAGACTGTGGAAGCCTCGCTGCCTAGTTTGAAAAAGAAATGCAATAAAACACATCAAGAAGGAGACCTTCATCGATTTCTGCCTCATGTTGAACTGAACAGCGATTGGATGAAACATTGAGTCATTCAATGCTGGTATGTCCACTAGATGGTGCTACCGTAGTGGAAACGACAGCAGAGTTAGCTAGCAAACGAAACCTCACCAAGCAAGAAAGCAACCAACCAACTAACCCGCCAAACCACTAACCAAAAGGGCATGTTAAAATGTCGACAATTGAATGAACTGCCTACGACACTTTGGCAACATATAATAACTAAAGTCCTTTTCTTTTACAAGCCTTTCATGTATATAACAACTGTAAAACTCTAGATTAATGTAAACGTGTGCTTAAAGTCCATATTACTTTTTTTTTTTTTTTTTTTTTCTCTTTTTGAAGATTGAATGACTGCCTGTCTTATGTGTTGTATTTTGTTATGTTGTTATGACTTCAAGTTGGCGCCGCGAGAGTGGCTCCCTTTACAGCAGCTCCTATACTTTTTGTTCTTTGCATTCTTCCTTTCATAACTTTGCTGCTGTAAATTTGGATTTTCTCCATTGTAAGACGAATAAAGGTTTTCTTTTTCTTATTCTTAAAATAGTTTTTCAAAAGAATGTTTTCAGTTTTTTAATCAATCGATCGGTTATCAACGTTTTTTTTTAAGTTAACTTTCTATAAAATGTTAAATTTGACTACTATATGATTTTTTTTCTTCAGGAAAAAAAGAGCAAACATTACAGGACTCTTGATGGTGCACATGCCTTTAACCACCTCTTCTCCAGCTCATGTAATCTTACGATATGATATATTGTATCTCCATTGTACAGT